AATGTTATGTTTTATCAATATATTAATATTATAAATATTATTATTTATATTCATTTAATATATTATTATTTTTTTATTTAATATATGACATATGTTATTACTAAAAGAATGCAACAATATCTCTATTTTTCTTCCTTTTATTCAAACATATAACCACGAAGCATATATGTAAGAAGAACGAATGCGATACGCGTTCTCATCGAATTTGTGTCGTTGAACATCAGGAAACGTCGGGTACGATAATTCTCCACAAGGGCGGCGATGATGTTCGGAAGTTTAGATGTGTGTATGTGTGTTTTGTTATTTGTTTTGTGTGTGTGTGTGTGTGTGGTACAACTATATATATTTGAAAAATCTGACCCATCGAATCGACGCGCTCTCTAGTGCAATAGAAATCATCTTTTCATATTGCATATACGTAGACACATTTATAACACTGCGTTCGTTCTCCTTGTATATAGTTTCATGCATATAACCACATGCATTATTCATGAATTATAACCTTACTTATTAATAATATTATATTAATAGCTTTTAATGCGTGAGATAAAAAGTGTGAAAGTTTGGATGTAAGAGGGAATGAGATAGAGATTGAATAATGTAAACAGTAAAATAGTAATAGAGTGTTTTACGGCGAGACAAAGACCGAAGAAGACAGTTATCCTCTAGTAGTCAAGCAGCGAGTACGTGTTACTGTATCATTATTTTTGTAGTTCATTTATCAGAATATATTGTATTTCCGTGAAGAGAGGTTTCCTTCCTCAAAGAACCTATCATCAAAATTATCGGAATTTCTATTTTGTGTTCGTTAGATATCCTTTCGGGGGGAATCCCATATATATATTTATCAGAATCAACATTATTTGAAAGTTATTAAAACAAAAAGTTAATACGTTTAGTGTGTATCGTCACTTTATCATTAATCCTTTGCACTATGATTAAATTCGCGCCATATTCGATGCTATATTTCGAGCCTCTAATATTTTGGCCGAAAAGTATATCACAAGTTTCACATGTTGTTATAGTGCAAGAGGTTATGTAGAATAAACTGATGAGACAATTAAAAGCTTGTTTTACTTATAGGTTTAAATAAATTTTAAAAATCTTGTTATTGTATCTGTAGATCTCATGGGATTTCTTTTCGTTTCTTGTCTATCTTTCTATTATTTCTTTTATACGTGGAGAAATGTCTATTAATATATTTTTAGTTTTATACAGCATATGTCTTAATAAGTTAGAATTGTTTACATCACAGTGTTCACTTACTACGAATTTTGTTATTGAAATTTATACTACTTCAGTGATATGATGCCAGCCTGTAAGTTTTATCGCCAAGGCAATTGTCGTAATGGACAATATTGTCAATATGAACATTATAGTAGCTTTGGTAAGTAAAAAATTGTTATATTTTTTAATATATTATTATTATTATACGATTAATTTGTTTTTGTTTTCTTTCTTTGCAGTAAATGTTAACAATATCAATGATGAGAATAAGACAGCGTAAGTGATAGAAAAAAACAAAAACATTTTAATTTTGCATAAATATGTATATCTTCTAATGAAAATTAATCTTATATTAGGGTTGTTATTGCACGCGAAGTACTTTGTGCAGAGATGGGTGGCCAATGGTTATTATCATGTTTTGCACCATTCAGAGATCGACCTACTATACCTGGCATGGAGGATGTGTCACCTGAAGAAGTTAGATGGGAAATGTATCAAGCACAAAAAAATGGTGTCGTTGAACAGGCAGTAAATAAATTAATAAATTAATCAATTAATTTATTTACTAATCTTTGAATAATGTATTTACTGCTATATATATATGATCTGTATCATTAATTTTTGCTTATAGAAACTTCGCTTTCAACAACTATGTCAGGATATGCAAACAAAACGTGAAGCTTTAAAATATCCTACGCAAGAAACTTTAGAAATGTTGGTAAGTAATGCTGTTAATTGTTTTATTTATAATCATATTAAAAAATTTATAAAGAAATTGTGTATGTTTATGAATATATATATTTTTACAGAATATTTCTTCTTCTGCTATACAAAGAAATTGTGTATGTTTATGAATATATATATTTTTACAGAATATTTCTTACAAGCTTGGATATTTTGTTACTATTAGATATATTATATTTACATAAACATTCATAATCTAATTATTCATTATAAGTACTTGTTAATGAAGTTGTTTTTCCTTTTTCTTCTTTTTTTTTTTTTTTTTGAAGAAAAAACTTTTAGGTAATAGATTTAACAATGGAACATCAGATATGTCAAACTTCTCTTTTGCAAATTCACAAATGTTAATTAATATTAGTACAACTACTAATGTGTTTGGTACTGAAACATTTGTTAATCAAAATAATACATTTGGTCAAGGTTTTGGTTCAGTGAATAATAATCCATCTCCATTTACAAGAACGAACAATTCAGTATCTTTGTTTGGTGCTAGTTCAACTTTTGGTAACAACGCATTGACATTTCCTAATGTAACTAATTCAAATTCAGTATTTGGTGGTACTACGAATACTCCTGTATTTGGTAATGGACAAAATAATCAAGCATTTGGTACAGTTGCGAACAATTCTATTTTTGGTGCTGCAACATCGCAAGCAATATTTGGCCAACCTAGCAATTTTGGTACTACCACTCAAACCACTAATGTTTTTGCCAGACCAAGTACATCACAGCAGACAACAACTTCAGTATTTGATAGTGGAACAGTAGTACCTTCCAATTCTTTATTTTATACGCCTCAATCAAATACATCCTTGTTTGGTGAAAATAAACCATCTACCAATGGTCCATTTGGAGAATCTTCTGCTATACAAACATCAAATTCTATCTTTGGAGGATCAACTACATCATCAGGAAATATGTCTACTAATTCAACAAGTATTTTTGGACAGTCAAAGACTACTACAGTATTTGGAGGTACACCAGCATTTGGAGCAAATGCTGGATCATTTACAAACAATTCTAGTCCATCTATTTTTGGAGGTCAAACATTTAACAAAGATACACAAGTGCCTAGTGATAACATTTTCGGTAGATTTATTGCCTCATCGAACTTTGTTCCTGCGAGTCAAGGAACTAATGTTTTTAATGTTACAAAAACTACAAGTAATGTAGGCAATTTTGGAGTTCCTCAGAATGCTTTAGCTGTTATGCCAGCAACAAATACAGCTTCATTTGCCTCGGCAGCAACAACGACCAGTGTTGCGCCTTTCGGTACAGTAAACTCGCAAACTGATACTAAAAGTACAACATATGCCATTGCAAGGCCAACATTTGGTATAACAAATGCAACCAATCCATTAAGCAACACAGTTACTTCATCTACCATGCCATTTGGAGTTACAACAGGAACAAGCTTTAATGGTAATACAAATATAACATCATCACCTTTTATTGTACCTACGTTTGGAGGTTTTACTTCTTCTTTTATGCAAACGAGTACAACAGCCACAACTACTACAACCAATCCATTTATTTCACAACAAACTAATTCACCATTTAATGGCGCAGCTCACAATCAAATTGGAACAGTAAATGAATCGCTTGTTGCAAATCAATCTAATGAAAAATCACTGTTCTCATTTGCACAAAAAACTACTCCTACTGATGATATTACTTATTCTGAAGAATTACAGTTAACTGATGAGGAAAAGATTATGTATTTAGCAAACGAATTTATAGTTGGTAAAATACCACTAAAACCTCCAAGTAATAATATGATATAACGCTGTTGTATCTATATATATTTATAAATATGTAAACATATGTATATGAAAAGTTAAATTCATTACATTTTTATAAAATAATATAATTGTACTAATACTTAAAGATATTAATTATACACAATTCATTTTCGTTAGAATAATAATAGCCAATTATTGTATATAAATCGTTGAATAAGATTTGTAATATGGTTACTTTTAGAAAAACTCAAATAACAAATGTTATTTCAGCAAATATATAAGCAGAGAGAAACAAATAAAAATTTCTTCTTCCAAATAATTTGTTTATTTAATTTTTACCTATATATGTTATATTTACATATATACATTTGTACTTGATAAAATAACATTCATTAATTAATGCTAAACTATAAACATTATTATACATTTTTATAATGAATTACTCCCGATGGTGGTAACGGTGGTGGTGGAGGTGGTGGAGGAGCTGAACCTGTAGATGGAGAACGAGATGTAACGGAAGTTACATCGTTACTAAACTGCATAGTTTCTGATACCTAAAAAGACATTTTGTTACGATATGAAATTAAAATAATTGAAATGAAATGTCACACACATCTGTTTATATTATACACATTTTATTGTGTATTTAATACTTTAAATAATCTATTTATACTTATATTTCTAATACTCTCTAAATACTCTTATCTGTGTATTTAATACTTTAAATAATCTGTTTATATCATACACACATTTGATTATTAAACTTAAATTTATAGTAGGCTTATTATTAAATAAAATCATTATTAATGCTCTGACCTGAGGTAAATGACATAAAGAATTTGTGTAATTTATTCGTTGTGCATAAGGTACCGATCCATGATTAGATAATTGAGATGGACCAGGTGGAATATCACTAGTAGATTTGTACCCAGTTATCTAAAAAGTAAAAAGTAAAAAAAAGAGAGAATACATTTACAGGTTTCAACAAAAAATTTTATAACTAAAATAAATGATAATGTTTTAACATACTTTGTCATTCATTTCAGGAAAAATTGTACTTAAATTGAAATTGGTGAGACTGGTTCCAGATGGGTGATGAGACATGGTCACTGAATTACTTGTGACAAGTCGAACTCTAGGAATATTTGGATTTACGGAAAAACCAGCAGGTGTTATTGTAGGCACATTTTGATTCCCAGCAACGGATGGTGGTGGTGGCAAACTATTTACAGCCTTTGTATACATGTTTGTTTGTGGATGATTCTGATAAAGAGAATTTGCATGTGGCAAAGGTGGTAAAAATGAATTCGACTGATGATAATCTTCTAGAGGTGAATTCATGTTAACAAGAGGGAATTCAATATTTTGTATTGTTCCATCTACACCTTTTCTTTTACCCTTCTTTGCAGTTGATGCATAGGAGCGTTTATCACAGTTTTGATGTTTCCCATAATTTTGATGTTTTTGTGAAGTCGCACTTGTAGATACATTAATTGTTGAAGTGGTAGAAGTAGATGTTGCTGTTGTTATTGGTGTATTTGGTAATAAGAAAGTATTTACTTCCATATAATCCGTATTTTCATGCAATGGCATCATATAGCTGCTAGATGTATTTGGTATACTAGTTATAAAAGTCGAAGTAGGATAGATATTAGCATTTGATGAATATGTATAAGAATTAAAATTCTGATTAACCATTTGCCCATATCCTGTATTGTCATCTGTATTTGAAAAATAGTTAAGTGGCATCACAGTATCACTGGTTGGTAGGCTACTTTGGAATTTATTTTGTGAATGACTAGAAATAAGCTTTGTGGATGTATGCTTGTCCTGGTGATTAGCATCATTGATATTAGTATTTGAACTAATTAATGCTTCAGCTGTATAATTGCTTTTACAATTTCTATTTCTCCAATAAGCATTATTTTGTTGATACTTTTGCTGATGCTGATAAGCTTGCTCTGAGAACGTATGGCTCGATGTTTTCTGTTCTTCGTGTCTTTGATGAAGTTGATCATTTGTTGAAGTTTGCTTTCGAATATCTATTTGTCGTTTATTATTACCTCTAGGAGTAACATTATTTTTTCTTTGATGCTTCCTACTCGTTTGTTGCTGTTGCTGTTGTTGTTGCTGCTGCTGTTGCTGTTGCTGTTGCTGCTGCTGTTGCTGTTGCTGCTGTTGTTGCTGATGCTGTTGTTGCTGTTGTTGTTGTTGTTGTTGCTGCTGTTGTTGCTGCTGCTGTTGTTGCTGTTGTTGTTGTTGTTGTTGATGATGATGAGGATGTTGATGTTGATGCGGATGATGATGGTGTAAATGGTAATGTTGTTGCTGGGTTTTTTCTGCCTTTTCTTGTTCTACTAACTGACTTACTGATAAAAAAGACGATCCTTGTGCCGAATGTGGAACACTTTGTGTACTCAAAACTGTGTGGAAATCTCGTCCAAGAACATTTTCTTCTTTATCTCTGATCAATTCTTTATTCTGTTCTACCAAAACTCTTGGCGGTACTTGTCCAAGTAAAAAGTTTTGCTTCTCTGATACATTCGTTCCTAGATCCAAATCACTTACTAATGTTGATAATGTAGACGAAACGGCATGCTGATCTATAGCTTTTATACTATGTTGTCCAAGATTCTGTTCTACATTATGAACAGGATTTTTAGTTGGTGACCAAGAAAAAGGTTGCTCCTCTGAATAAAATGCCTCAGTAGGCCTTTTTTGCTCACTTTGCAACATTGATAAATTAGAAAAACTATGCGCTGTAACATCATAATTATTGTAAAATTGATTTGGAGTACTTTGATTGTAAGATGGCGTTTGAGTGAAAAGATTGTTTTGACAAAATTCCAATTCTTTACCGATTGGTGGAAAAATAATATCTGTAATACTTGTATTATGTTTAAATTCCGGTGTCATCATCCAATTAACTGGAGCTCTAATCGCATGTTGTTGTTGATTGTTTTTTAATTTGTTACTACTTTGTTGCTGCTGTCTATGTTTATTCACATCGCTATTGTAAGTAGTACTTCCTTGTTGTAACAAAGGTACCTGAGTTTGATTTAAAAGCTGATATCTATGTTGACCGTGTTGTTGTATTTTATCAACATATTTAAAATTAGCTCCAACATAAGTCTCAATTGAATATTTTAATTGCGTACTAATTTCTGGTACATCAAAATTAATATGAGAATCATAGCTTGATATTGGATATGTTGATTTATCTTGTTTAGCAGATAAGCTTTGATGATTCTTTTGTCCATGTTGTTGCGATGATTGTTGTGTTTGCTCACTTATGCTGGAATATTCTGTTGGTATATAATCAGAATTTATTTCATATTTTGATTTACTTTTATTTTCCGTACTAAATTTGTAATCATTGTTATTTGATGTTTGAGTTTGATTTTGCAAACGATTTGGTTTAGTTGCTGATGATGATGCAGTAGATTGTAAGTTTCTATTTTTTGAAACATCTACAAAGGGAGGCTTTTGTGTATCCACATCTGATTTCATCCTTAATTTATCAATACCACTCACATTTGGATGAGTTGAATAAGTATCAGTTGTTAAAACATCAGAAAAGCCTGAATTTTCTTTGTGCAAGGGGACATAATTATAATTTTCACAAATCGTTTTTCCCTCTGTATTATCGTTCGGGTGAGATCCTTGTTCAAATTGTACTGGATTATTATTACCACATCCACCAACTGGTGAAAATGTTGTCCATGAAAGGATACTGAAATTGGATGAATTATGAGCAACTGTTGTCATTGATTTTGTATTATTATCTGTTATAGTACTCTGTTCGTAATTGGATGTTGCCACAAAAGAAGGCATTTGTTGCTGAGTATAAAGCAACGTAGGTGTATCTTGAATAAGAGATTTACTCGTTATAGAATTTGTTGTATTAGTACTCACTTTTTTAATGTCTTTATTAGAAAAAGGAGTATAATTTGATGTGTTATGTTTTTCTTGAAACATTGTAACGACATTAGGATTTACATCAGCTTGATTTGGTTGCGTAGTTATTGATGATTTAACTCCATATGAAAATGTTTGCCCAAATGGATCAATATCAACTTTTTTTGTAGATACATAATTCGTATCACGTCTTTCATCAGAATGTTCTTGCTGTTTTGTTCTTAAGACAGTGTTTATTTTTGTACCTTGTTCTATGTTGTTATTGCTCTCATTATTAGAATCTTTATTTAATTTCGTATAATTTTGATTGTGAGATGAACGCTCATTTTCATTTCCTGAAGAATATGATATAGAATTTTTGCATGATAAACTTTTGTTCTGATCCTTGCAATATTCAGTATGAGAATGCTGATCCATGTGATCTTTTTGATGAATATCAAATGTCTGCTGTGAATTATGTGATACGGCAATACAATTTGATTCTTTTGTATGTGTATTATAAACAGATTGAATTCCTTGAGAAGAAAGAATTGGGGTTGTTGATGGATCTTTAGTATGTGCAGTATTATAGTTCTGCTGTAAATTTTGAGATGGTGTAGGAAGTGATTCATGAACTTCACCATAATCAAGACGATGATTAGGTACCAATGTAGTATCAATGAGAGACTCTTTATTCTGAGCAACATAAGCTGCATGTTGTCGTTCTTGTGGATCTTTTTCTTTTATTTGTGGCGTATAATCAGTTTGTAATGACCCTAAACTTGTAGATGATGAAGTAGTCGTGGTTGTAATATTGTTGAGGCAAGAAGCAAGTGACATTTGGGATATGTCATTCATGATATTTCGCGATGATCCGATGGTACCTGAATCTTCTGCTGTAGAAGTATCTATAAAAGTAGATGTATTTTCTTGCAATGCTCTTTGGTTGCTATTTGTTATAGTTGGATAATTTGGCAAAAAACTTTGCGTGTCAGAATACTGAACATTATTATAATCGGAAGTTCGTATTGCAGGATTCCTGTCGATACTTTTATTTATTATTGATGTGCCAGTGATATGTGCCTGAGATACTGTATTTTCGGTTGCGATAGATTCTGTGTTATTCTGAAATATTGTAGTTGTTTGCTTTTGACAATCTTTATTTGTACAAGTAGTATTTGATGTGACCGGTGATGAATTTACATTAGAATATGTGGAAGATGCATGAGAATAAGTATTAGTTAAATCTGTTGATTTTTCTAAAATTGGTGGTAATGCAGATTGTATGACTTTGTATGGTTCTTTAAGTGTTTCCTCACTTACAATTTTTGGTACAACTCTTGCCGTCGATGTACAAACATTAGGAAGCATGATTTCCGGATGAATATTTACGCTTGTAGGTGTAACAATATCTTTTTTGTTCTCACATGTTGGTTTTAAACATTTCTCAGTTACCGTTTCAAAGATTGGGGGTGACGATACTCTAACTTTGAAGCTATTTGGTTCCATACTACCAATCTGTAAGAGCATAGGTGGTGTTTGACTATGATATTTAAAATCTTCTTTCATTTCTTCATCAAGAACTTCAGTTTTTCCATTTAAAGATGACACTAGCGGAAATGCCATCAAGAAAGCTGCTGTAGGTGATAACGATTCAGTATTATGTGAATTAGAGGGTACTTGCAGAGAAGCAAATATATCATTTGATAAATCAGAATGAAGTGCTTCTGCTCTACTATTAATTGGAATGAAACTATTTTCTGCATTATAAGGTAAGCATTTAGATATATCTTCTTTCAACGGTCTAATCAATTTGATATCATCGTTTTGAATATTTACTGAATTTAATGAAGTTGATGTTGTTATTGCCGATGTTTGAATAATGGCCGTACTTGTTTCAGGTTTCATCGAAGTGGTCGTGTTTGTATCCAAATTTAAAAGAATCTTGCTGCTTTCTAAATTTACTGTTCCTTCTAACATTTCAGGACCTTTGGCATTTACACGTAAAAGACTATCGAATTGAGTTCCTAAGTTACACACTTCTTTTATTCGTTCAGATTCTACTGTACTTTGTACTGTTTCAGCAACTTCAGGTAAAGTTGATTTTATATTTGATGATTCTGTAGTATTAACAATTTTTTCTACTTCGTTGTCTACAGGAATATCATATCCAGTTTCAGGTGAAGGTCTTATTATTGCATCATTTGTTCCATTTAATTCAGATGAATTATTGGTTGGAGAACCTTGCGGCGATACAACTTTATTTTCTACACTTTTCTCTTCATTATGCGAATAATCCGAATTCATATTAACTATTGGTTCTGAAGAACTAGGAGTATTTTCAATGGCTGTGTTATTAGGTGATAATGAACTTGGATTTGTAATATTTGATTCTATAACAATTTCATTATTTTTCATTACGGGTGTATGATTTTTGTCTTGGATTTCATTTGAATTCTCTCCAATTTTTTCTATTACATGCTTTAAACTTTCAATAGATTTACATGTTGCTGTAAAATTTGTAATACTAGAACTAGATACCGTTACGGTATCTATATCATCTCCTTTCCGCTTTTTATCTTCTGGTTCATCAGAAGATATATTTTCGATGCTTAAACATCGTTTATATGGTATTTTTTCAGTAGACACATTATCGTTAAAACACTGTGTACTTTTTTCTTTGACTATTTTTTCCATTGTTGTTTCTTCCACCAGCAACGTACTTTTAATACTTTTAACATTGTTTTTATTCATTTTAGATTTTCCTTCAGATTCTTTTCGATTAGAGCTTTCCTTATATTTATCTATTTTCTCTTTATGAATCGCTGGAATAGGAACTTTGTAAGTCATAGTTGTTTTAGTAACTTCTTTTCCTTTTGGCAAAATACCTTTATGACCACCTATTCGTGTTGAATTAATAATATTTTTAACATTGGATGCCCAATTTTGCGAATCTACAACCAAATTAGATCTAATACTCGGCACTGTGTTTAAAGTAACCTTTTGCATGGTGTTTATAACACCCTGCTTTCGAATAGAAACCACTGAATTTTGTACGTGATTTGCTAAAGGCTGCATAACAATCATCTGACTTTGTTGAGCGTTACTAAGAATTATTGGATTTGCTGATTGTGGTTGCGTATTGACTATTATGTTGGATGTTAAAGAAGTCATAGGTGTTACCAAGGGTACCAGTTTTCCACCTGATAAAATTAAAGTACTCGGTGTTAAATTTGTTACAGAATTATTTATACATATAGATGAAGGCTTCTTAGCATCTTTTATTTTCGATTTCTTCTTAATTTTTTTCCGATTTTCTATCTTTTGTACAACTGTAAGGAGACATTTTATTTTATTATTTAAAAAAAATAGAATAATTAAAAATTATATACACGCATACGTACCATTACGGCTTTTGATAGTCTGCCTGTTGTTTTCAAAACTTTTAGAAATTTCACCTAAATCAATAATTTATAAAAATGTTTGTATAAAAAATGATATTTATATTATTATAAAAATTACCTTTCTCAATTTGAACATTATTCTCTCTGCATTCAATTTGCGAATCATTGCCTAAATTATTAGAATCGTTATCATTATTATTCACACAATTTAAACGATTTTCTTGATTTTCTATAGAAGAGTTTTTAGAAATATTAGATTCATCCACAACTTTTTTCGAAGATGTTTGGGATGGGGATTTCTTATTTAAAGGCACTTTACTGTCCGCTGATTTTTCTTTCTTTTTTTCTGAAGTTTTTTCTGCAAAATATTTAGAAATTTAAGATAAAATATTATATATATGTAGGATTTTTGATGGGAAAAACAGTTTAATTACAATTTCTAATGATTAATACAAATGCAGATCCTCTCTCTTACAACGCTCAATACTAACTGTCCTTTATTTCGTCCGTTGTCCCCGGTTACTTAATCTAACAAAATCCTATCGCCCTACGCTAACAAGACGGCAACGCTTACCGTCTCCTACATATATATGTTTATAAACATTTGTGTTTTATTTTCTTGCATAGAATATTTTGACACCATTTAGCTGGAAGAACTTCAGACACTTTGTATATAAAAACATAATAAAATATATACATTTTATACCTTTTGTAAAATACTTTTCTATATCTTCTACATTAATCTTGTTTGACCATTTTAATGGAGATATCCTTTCTAAAGCTGGTTCTGCGGGTACAGATATTCCGGCTTCTTGAAGCAGGGTTGAAAGTAATTGTGTTCGTGAGAATAATAACGTTACAAGTTTTTTCAAACGTGCTAATTCTTCTTCTAGGGAAGAATAAAAAAAAGAAATAATAATGTTTATATTTAACTTTACAACATTTTTTGTAGCAAAAAACTTTTGGTTAACTTTGGTTAGAAAACTGTACAACTTTTTTGTAAGCAATGATGCTATTAAAAATTATATTGATACATACTGTGAGCTTCCGATGCATGAGCGAAGAATAATTCTTCAGTACGAACATGAAGTTCTTTGATATATTTTGATGCGTGAATTAATATATCAACTTTGTTGCGTTTGCGACCTTCTTGATGAGGAGGTAAGAGATCTGCCAAGGTCTTGAAATATGTATTCATTCGTTTTCGTCTGTCTCGCTCCCATGTTTTGGCTTTACTAAAACAATTATTAATCTGAAGGACAACTTTGCTATGATCATTGATAAAAATAAGTTTAACAATTTTTCTTAATTATTAACCCATATAAAAATCATTGTTTATTGCCAGTCTTTTAACATCGTTGATTTTCAATGCACAATTTTCTGCAGAACTATGTACATAAACGAAACTTTTTTTCCTTAATGATATATAGCAATGGTGAATGAAATTTGACAGAAACTTACGTGTTTTCTTTTCGAGGCATAATTTATCTTCTTGACATCGTTTAATTAAAATGACGTACCGTGGGAAACGTCAAAATATCACTTATCATCCACATTATGATTTCAAATTAATATATTTTCACACTTTGACATCTCGATAATTGAGCAGGCCCCAGATGGGCTCCAACCGGTTTTACATTCTACTCCATTCTTTCACCGTAAAATTCGAGATTTCAGATGAAAGTTACAGATTGCGCCACTATTCCTGTACCAGTGACATCTGATAGACGAAAAATGTACTTATCCAAATATTGCATACAATATAAACAATATTGTTCCATTTCTTTTTTATCCGGTTAATTTGATAAATATTCTATGGCAAGATTTTTTAGATCGCCGTAAAGTAATTATCGTTTGTCACGTCGATATAAACAAGGTGTCGATATTATTAAAGTTAATGGAGACAAATTTCTTAAGCTTTTTTGGTAAAGGGTTATCAAGTGATTTTGCAAAAGGGTGGGGCGTAACTAAAATTGACTGACATTTTCGTTTATGCAACTGTGTCATTTCTATTTTTCTCTAATTATCAATAACAATCTTAATTAATATATTTTATAAAACGTCATAAAATATGTATAAATAATTAGCTGGTTAAAATTATATTTATGTTCATTGGAAAATTAATTATGAGCATAGTTTTTTCTAGTACAGATGGTTGGATTATTTCTCATTTAGATTATCTTAATAATGTTTATCAAAGTGTTAACACAGAAAGTGGATTGCATTCTTTAACATTTAATAATATGTTGTTTGAAATTAATTCGCAATATTTGAGACAAAATCAATTGGCACGTGTCATGGAAGATAATGCAAATCCTTTACCAAGCAAAACTAGGAAACGTAAACGAAACAAACTTCTTCCACAGGACCATTTAAACGAAGTAGGCTCAAAATTATTTTGAAGATGTTATTGCTCTATATTATGTTTCATATGTTTTTCTATTTTATAGTTAAATTTTATCCAACAAGCATTCAACAAACTAATATCATCTGGCAAATTAAATGGATTATTCGGTGATAATATTTCAATTGATAACAATGAAGCAGCACGTTCAACGTCGGAGAAATTTTACTCCGATACATTTCATCAAAGATTAGAAAATTTATATGGTTGTAATAATTCTGATGTAGCAATTATATGGGAGGCACAATATAAGAAATATGTATTTCCTAAAAAATGCAGCTTTTATTGTTACGATGTCAGAAACATGACGCAGAAAATGGAGTTGAACAATCAGTATGATTTTGTACTATTGGATCCCCCATGGTGGAACAAGTCTATAAGAAGAAAAAAGAGCAAATCTGTAGAAGCTAGGTGATCTTGTATGGTTCAGTATAAACCAGTAAAAAAAATAAAATAACGAAATATCTATCAGCACTTTTAATGAGAACAAGTAATTTATATACTAGTTATATTTATCCTGTTCTCAGTTTTCTAAACAAAGATCGGTAAATAAGATTTTAGATGCAACTATTCGTCGTTAAAATCACTCTCGAACATTTGATCGTATACTATTTGTATATATATATATATATATATATATTTGTATATATTTTATTGATTATGTTTTTATTTTTACTTTTAATTATTATTATTATAGCAGTTATTTAATATTATTTATAACATCTTATAAATTGCCAAAATTTTATTTAATATCTTTATAACAGTTACCAAATGATGTATAATGAAGAATTAGTCAAGATACCCATTGGAAAATTATTATGTTCAAATGGTATTGTAGCAATTTGGTGTACCAATGCTCCCAGTCATTTGAATAGTATTTTTAATGAAATATTTCCTTCCTGGGGTGTTACATATAAAGCAAAATGGTATTGGGTCAAAGTAAGTTCAATAATTGCAACAAAACAAATTTACTTAATATTTCAATGAACAGTAAAATACATTAGAACTTCCAAATATTTCAGGTAACGCAAATGGGTAATACAATTTGTAATTTTACTTCAACGCCTGGAAAACAACCTTATGAGTTAATAATATTAGGATGCGCATCTGATATTAATGTTAATATTCCAGATGGTAAATTAATTATCAGTGTACCAAGTGCTGTACATTCGCATAAACCACCTCTTATAGGTGAGTACTATGATGTATTTCAAATGTAAATATTTTTTTTTTCAAGTATTTATATCAACAAAAACTTTTGCTAATATTTTAGAAGTTATAAAAGAATATTTGCCTAGCGAGCCAAAGTGTTTAGAAATTTTTGCTAGATATTTGTTGCCTGGATGGACAAGTTGGGGTTTAGAGGTGTTAAAATTTCAAGATCTTTCTCTGTATACAATTCTAGAGCATGTTAAAAATAATAAAGATGCCACGGAAAGCGTGGCAGTAGTTGTGAAGTAGTAGATAGTTATATGCATTAACTATAATTATTATTATAACTACCAGTTATTTGGGCAATTAAACAATTATGTTTAAAATGTGATATAAGTTGATAAACTTTTATTATTATTATTAATATTATTATATATATATAAATTATTTATTTGTTAATTATACAAGTTTTATAAGTTTATGTAGTATTATTTACATGATAATGAACGCCATTTTTAACTGGCGCACGATAACCATATGGATTCATGGTTTGCCACCTCCAAAAATCTTCACCTTTATTTAAAATATATTATTTAATATGCATTTCTCACTCTTATATATGATAGAAATGAATATATAAAAAAAAGAACACTTACACATTCGTTCAACATTATGTTTAGTTTTCCATCCAAGTTCTTTCTTTGCTAAATCTGTATTAGCGAACATCGAAACAATGTCGCCTTCTCTCCTATCTTTTATAATATATGGGACGGTTGAGCCTGTCACTTTTTCAAATGTTTTTATTAATTCAAGAACGGATACTCCTTGTCCAGTACCTAAATTGTAAATTTTTAGTCTGACATGTTGTTTATGTAAAGCGTTTAAAGCAGCTACATGACCAGATGCCAAATCCATTACGTGAATATAATCTCGAATTCCTAAAAAAAAAACAAGTAATTGATAAGTAAACAAGTTTATTTAATAATTTCTAAAAATAATAAACTTTATATTGTACCCGTTCCATCCTTTGTAGGGTAATCACCACCAAAGATAGTCAATTCAGATTTATGCCTTAATGCAACTTGTGCAATGTATGGCATTAAATTTGTGAATGGTTTAGTTGGGTCTTCTCCTATTAATCCGCTAGGATGAGCACCTACTGGGTTAAAGTATCTTAAAGAGATTATATTCCAACTCTGTCAAATAAAATTAATGTTTCACTTTGAGAAATAATACAATTTGTAATAATTGTACATAATGTTTCTTTTCTTAATAGAAATACATATTAAAATGATACCTTTTCTGCTCTTGATATATCTTTAAGCATCTCTTCAATAAAATACTTAGTACGACCATATACATTAGTTATATTTCCTGTAGGATGTTCTTCAGTTATTGGTAATTCATTTGGTTCTCCATATACTGTACAAGAACTACTAAAAACTAATTGAAAGCAACCAGCAGCTTTCATTACCTAGAAATATTAAATTATTTTACAATAAATTAAATCGCACAGTTTTATCATTGTATATAATAATGAAATACCCTTACCTCTAATAAATTAATGGCACCGATAATATTATTCTTATAATAATGAAGTGGAACTTGCATAGATTCACCCACTGCTTTTATTGCCGCAAAATGAATGACACAATCTATTTTATGCTAAAAAGTAATATATAAATTAATAAGAATACTATATCAATGAGTATCACTTTATGTTGATAACATTTACCTTATTAAATAATTCTTCAAGGTTGTTTTTATTGATTAGATCACAATTGTAAAATATTACTTTTTTTCCGGTTATTTTTTCAACTCTTTTAAGAGCAGCTGATTCACCTTCACCTTCTACAACGCTATTCGCAAAATTGTCTATAGCTACTACATCATATCCAGATTCTAAAAGTTCAACAATACAATGACTACCAATATAACCAGCACCCCCAGTTACAAATATTGTCTTCCAATTTTCACTCATAGCTCTGTAATAATAATAATATTAAAAATAAAATAAAAAGAACAATTTATAATTAAACAATTGTATTTATTATAAATGAAGAAATAAATGTTATCACAATATATGAAAATATTTCAAAGCCGATCGTGCAACTCTACGCGTAATTGCGGGCAATCACCTTCGGAAACGTGTACGTTGAAAGTTCAAGGACACACGTAATAGATCATTCCTAGAATGATCCAACAAATAGATATAAACCATTTTAATTTTAGTAGGAAGTATATAATATAATGTTTTTCTTAAATAATTGGATGCTTTTAATTAACAATAATTAGAAGTTTTTAATAAAAAAAGCAAAAGAAAAAGAGAGAAAAATGACTATGAAAATTTAAAAATCTGGAGGATCATTTCGAATCTTTTAATGATCTACTGCGCAATTGTATTTTTAAATATAACGGTATTCCTCGAATGCTCATGGTTTACGTTCCTGCATCGTAATTAACTACGGAATGTACTATATGTGACACTATAACGCAATCAAATAGTTTTTTAAACTTGAATCATATTACAGCAACCTTGACATTCTTTGTTAAATAATACAAAGTAAAAGACTCTGTTGATTTAATTTATAAAGAACTTATTTTATTTATATTAGAAATATAAGAAATATTTAGAAAATATATATACGAATTAATCCAAAAATTGAATTTTTATTTTTTAATAATTAAAATGTATTACCCTTAAATATTTGCAGAATTAATATAAATACTTTAATCACTTTAGTAGTTTTCACTATTGTTTAAAAAATATTTAAATAAAAAGATTGAATGATTTTACCTTGTAAAATAATTTATTTTTCACTCGATTAGATATTAACAAAAATAATTTTTTTTTAAATGACGAAGGATCGTGGAGGATGCTTTCGCGTTTATCTAATGACTGAATGTATTCCAGTTACGTCTACGTTTTTCAACTGAAGAAGGGAGAATTTAGTATACTCTGAAACTAAGAACAGTGCCTCCTGCACGATTATACGAAATCGTATACTATACCTATCCTCATACACTCTCACTCTTCCATTCGTACAATCTGTTATAACAGGTTCTTCCTTTCACAACCTTCCTAACACCATTCTTGCGAAAGATGCTTCAAAGACGATATTGGAAAATGAAATTTTTTTTAATTATTTATCCTTTATGAAACGTATTATTGTTTACGGAAAATTTAAAGTCTGCAATATTTATCATGATGAGGGAATAAAATAATAAAAGAAAGTTTATGACTTTATTAAATGTGTTATTTGATTCATAAACATATTTATATATATACAATTATCACATATTTACTGTAATGTCAATACTCTAATTAACTTATGCAATAATTCTTTTTGTTCTGTGTTGAAATATGGCCATAATTCACCCTCTAATTCAAATAATACTTGAAAATCTCGTGATTGACAAGCAAGTACCAATGATTGCAGTAATAAAAGTTCATCCTCGCTCATATCAAGACCTATAATGTTTAAATATTTTTCTTTAACATATATACAAGTTCAAGACTTTAATTTATGCAATAATTTTTAAATAAGAAATAAGCATACAAACCATTGTTTGTACCTTCCTCAACCCACGTATACTTCTCTAAAACTTGCACCAATGACGGTGCTAGCCTTTTAGGCGACGGTTGAAGAATTAAAAGTAAAAGAACTCTAGTTATTTCACATCTAAAAAATATTATAATTAAAATTATAAATGAACCTTCATATGTTACAAAAAAAAAGTATTGTGTAAATAATATAAATATATTTACCGACGTAAAATAACATTGTAATTGCCTCTTATACCGATATTAATGTAAGCTTTTACAAATTCGACGAATTCGTTAAGAACGTTTAAAGCAGCAACATGATCACCTGAAATTAATATTTAAAGATGATTATAATGTATATCTAGTTATAATTTTTATACAATATAACAAATTTTTTACCTTGTTCGATATAATAAGAAATCAAAGTATTAACACTTTTTGGAGTTGGAAAAGTATCAATCGATTTTCGTAATTGTTGAATTCCAGCTGAATTGGCACCTAACGATAATGCTAATTCTATTGCCAGTCCTGCAGATAATGTATTAAATCCTATTTGATTGCTACAACGCAATGAAGAATGACTGAAACAGCTGACTGCAGCCTGAAATATATTTCCTTATGCTTATGACTTAAAATATCAATTAAAAGTAGAAAAAAATTAATGTATAATTAATTATTTACCACCATATTTTCTTGTCCTAATGATGGACAACCGATATCATTATTTTTTTTTTCTGCAGTTAAAAACTGCCTACCAGCTTTAATCAACAAGTTTATTTCAGAAGAAGCATTTTTTAACGTTCCATGACATCTAGCTGCTGCTAAATAACATAATCCTGCGTACTGCCATAATTCTTTTTGTTCGCATTCAACAGCTAAAGCACCTATGTAAAGAATTGTTATAAAACTATACTAAAAAATGTTGACGAATACAATAGTATAATACTACTTACAAAACTGATCACTAGCTTCTGTAATATTAGGCTTTCTCAGAAAACGTCTAAAATTTATTGATTTAAAAATGGTTCCAATAATTTAACAAAAATGAATTAGTCATGTGAAATTTGCTTACTTTTTAACTTTGTTTGATATGATCTGATATCTTGCCAAAATATCTGCCGTTTCTCCCTTCTGTCTTACATTGATTTGAGACATCTTACTTAAATAAATAATTATAAATATCAATCATACACTGATACATCTCTCTCTCATAAATATTTGTATGAAATATAATTTTTCTTGTATGCGATATAAGAGACTTTCAAAATATATATATTTAAATTTCAATTTAAACAATATACATGAAATAAGTTTTATTATAAATATTTAATTATAAAGTCTTATAGTATATCTCGATACACACAAATTGATAGTGATAATTAATTTATCATAGAGTATTTGCCTTAAGAAAAAGAATACAGCAGTACATAAAAACTCACAAGTCCCCTTTTTTATCTACCCAGATTTATCTTAGTTATTACCGAAACCACAAGTGGGCGATAGTAGATACTCAACGCGATAACGGTACCATGGATCCTGTACATAGCTCCGTTGGTACAATATTCACAATGAAAGAATGATTTCTATTGCCACTAGAGAGCGCGTCTAGTAGCTTTGTCTGGTTTTTAAAAACAGTAATTAAAATAAAAACATCAAAAAGATCTATTAATTTCATTTGTTTATTTATAAAATCACAACATATACTTAAATCTAAATTTAAGAACATCACCACCGCCCTCGTGGATAATTATCGTACTCGATATC